ACAGCACATCGCCAGAACTCATCGTTCTTCTTCTTCTTCTTCTTCTTCTTCTTCTCTTTATTACACACCCTTCTTGAGAAAAATTCTTGAGACTCGGTCAGATCGTGGATACTTCTTGATACTTTATTTCGTATTCGAGATACGAAATAATGGAGATGGTTAAATTCGTTATCAAGTTGTTCCAAGTATCGCACTCCCTTTTCCAATTGGTGTTTGTATTATTTGGAGTACAGGGGCTATGACGGGAGATTGCTTGTGAAAAGGAGGAGTAAAATTTCTTCGCCCAAGAAAATTAGGTTTTGGAGAGAAACCAAGTTTGAAAGTGAAAGAGGGCGGAATAAAATTTCCTAATTTAAATTCTTACTTCCAAAGTATGATCGAGGCGTTGTATAATCGACGATTTCTTCTAGAAAATTCGTATTTCTTTAATATTAATTCCACACTTTTTTCGCTTATTTTACACAGAATATCTAATCTCCTGAATCGATCATTCGATATTAAATTAGAAAAATATATCCAAATATTCACTCGATTTTCTCGAGAACGAAAAAGTGTGCTCGAAAAAAAATTCTATTCCCTTATTCATTCACAAGGAATCGTCATCCTTGCATGATATAATGCGCTCTCACGAATGATCTCACTCGCGATTTCCTACGCGATTACGAAACAGTTGTAGAAGCGAGGGGAAGCAGCGGCTGTTTTCGAGAATTCTGCACCGAGCGGGTAGATTGGACATCCACCACATGTGGCTACCACGCTCCCTCACAGAGACAACTTTACGAGAGGAGCTTCTTCTTCTTCCCCTTGCCGAGAGAGCAGCAGCCCTGTTTCTCGATTAAGCGACAAAAAAGTAATCGCTCGGCTGGAGGCGACGCGCCATCGGCGAGGACCTCCTTCGCGCGTTACACCACCCCTTCCTTCCTCGATATCGCGAGCGTTTTTTCCGTCCTCGGTCAGAAAACGCGACCACAGCGCGAGATACGCGCACGCCCGCGTTTTCACCACACACACACACACGCACACACACGCGCGCACGCACGCGCACACACACACACACACACACACACACACACACACGCACACACACACACACACACACACACACACACACGGAGGGAGGGAGGGGGAGAGAGAGAGAGAGAGAGAGAGAGAGAGAGAGAGAGAGAGAGAGAGAGAGAGAGAGAGAGAGAGAGAGA